ACCGGACCGCGGCATGCCAGCAACCGGGCCACACAAACAAGCAAAACCCCATCCGCGGAATGCAGGCAGCACACAAAACCACACCCCCTCTGGTCCGGGGGGAAAACCTCTCTCCACATAACCAGTCCCTGGTGCCAAAAGGTTGGGGACTTCTGAAATACAGTATTTCAGCCTGACTGGTCACTGAAGGAGAAGATGTCATGTCGTGTGTTGTCTTAGTTTAGCTAAGCAAAACTAGCTTGGAGTCACTTCAAGTTCTCCGTGACTGAAGGAATCATAAAAACCTGAAGTATTATTGTCAAGTAATAAAAGCCACAGGGCATAGAAGAAAGCAAATTGGGGCTTGAACAACAGATCTAAGAATAAAATATCTAAGCGAATTTGTAGTTTTATAGGATTTGTCTAGCTGGGCAAAACAGCCAAGCAAATACAGCTAAAGTGAGCTACACCTAAAATTTGTTTCTATGGAGACTCTAAATCAGGCTGTATCAGCTATATTCAGAGGTGGCCTTGATGTTAAGTGCCTCAGATGAGAGAAGTGAGAATGAGTGATCTATACTATTTTTAAGTAAATAGGCAATGTGTTGGAGTATTTTTAATATATCTAAAACTTCTAAATCATCATTAACAGGGTGCTATTCTTATTCCAAGCTGTGAGTTTTTTTCATATGGATCAAAAACACCCCTCCACATTATGTCTTCTCTCTCTATGATTCCACATTTAAGTTACAAACCTCAATAAAAGATGCTCAGTAAAATAACCCTTAGGCCAGTAATGGCAAACTTTTTACAGACCGAGTGCCCAAACCACAACCCAAAACCCACTTATTTACCGCAAAATGCCAGGGCCACATCAGCATTGTGGTGCCTTCGGGAGGGGGGGAGGGAGGGGCCTCTGAGTGCTGCCTCTAGCATACAAAAACCAGGGGTGCAAAAATGGACCACCGTGCTGCAAGGCGCAAAAATGACTGCTGCCGCACCGTGGATGTAGATACAAGGTGTTGCACCACGCAAGAACGGGGCAGGGCTAGTGAGTATCATGCAGGCACTAGCCCCACCCCATTTGCAGTGCATGTGTGCTCGTGGCCCCATGTGAGCATGCACGTATGTAAAATGCTTCCCCTCCTTTTTCTTCCAGTCCACCAATCGACAATGGTTAGTGCTCTACCACCTCTACTCGAGGTTGCTAGTCAGACGCTTCACCTCCTTTCTGCTGGGTGGGTCTCCTGCTGCTGGTGGTGGCACACGTGCCAACAGAGAGGGCTCTGAGTGCCGCCTCTGGCACGCGTGCCATAGGTTCGCCACCACTGCTTTAGACTGACTGACAGTGGGAAAAAGCATTGCAAATCTGAACTGTTTGGAATTCAAAACACTCATCTTTCGAGTCTGCACGATGTTGGGGCAGTGGCCCATCTTTAAATACACAACAAACATTTCATATTTGAAAGTAGAGTTTCCATCCTCAAAACAGATCATTTTGGATTTGAGATTTTCAAACGTTTTGCCCATTCCATATATACCTCATCTAAAGGGAAAGATATCGCTGAAGGAATGGTATGGTTACGCTCACAGTAAAGACATAAAGTCTGTAATATTCATGAATATTCGTGGTGGCTGCAGTGGAACAGTGTTGTTTCTTCTGGGATTAAAATGTTAACAGTATTTTACATATCTTTTTTTATATAATATTTTATTAATTTTCCAATTTTATATTTGAATATTTAAAAAGCAACGTGGTGACTGGGTTAATCAATAGCTCAGTAACAATATCTTAGTACAAATCTCAGGCTACAATATCAAATATTTCTTCTCTTTTTCCCTTAACAATTACCGTCTCATGTTCAGGTTTGGTACATTTCTAATTGTATCAATTCAATAAGGACATCATTATTACATTTATCAATTTTTTAGCTTATACATACCTTAATTACATTCAATCTTCATAAACAATCCATATCCTGTTATTGATTTTTAGTCAATTTTTAATTTCTTGTCAATATTCCAATTTACCCTTTGATATTTATAATTTTCAGACTTTGGGTAACCAAAATTTCCCTTATTTCACTACATAACAAACGAACTATAATATCCAAAATACACATTTTATCTATTTAAATCTTGTTCTATTTTATTTTATCTATTCTATTCTATTTTATCTTGTTATATTTGCTAAGAGTTATCTATTTCCCACCATACTATTTTACATATCTTGATCATTGTTGATACAGGTGGTTCTCAACTTACAATAGCTCATTTAGTGACCTTTCAAAGTTACAACGGCACTGAAAAGTGTGATTCAGTTAACAACTGTGGCAAGATAGTGCTCATAAGTCGAGGAATACCTTCATCTGCCAATGAAGCATGCCTTGGTTACAGAAAATTAAGAAAACCTAAGAAAAGATTAACCAATTTGCCAATCTACATTGGTCAACAAGATGCGCTTAGGAAGTTCACAAGCTTGAGAGATAACAGTCACCATTCTCTCTTCCAAGCAACCACTGTCTTAATTAGGATTTTTTTTTTCTTCCATTCAGTCATGTCGGATCTTTGGAGACGGCCTGGTCAAGTCCCTGGAGTTCTCTTGGCAAGATTTTTCAGAAGTGGTTTGCCATTGTTTCCTTCCTGGGGCTAAGAGAAAGTGACTGGCTCAAGGCCACCCAGCAGCCTTTCTACACAAAGTGGGACTGCCACCAAAAAGAGGAGGAGGTCCACCTGTTCTCCAAAGCACCTGAAGGCAGGACAAGATGCAACGGATGGAAACTAACCAAGGAGAGAAGCAACCTAGAACTAAGGAGAAATTTCCCGACAGTTGGAACAATTGATTGGTGGAATAACCTGCCTCCAGAAGCTGTGAATGCTCCAACACTGGAAATTTTTAAGAAGAGACTGGACAACCATTTGTCCAAAATGGCGTAGGGCAGTGGTGGTGAACCTATGCTAGAAGCGGCACTCAGAGCCCTCTCTATGGGCACACACGCCGTCACCCCAGTCCTAGGCCTTCAGCTGGGTTTTATAAAACCTTTTCACTTTAGGCCTCCGGCGCCATGTACAAAAAAAAAAAGGGTTCAGTCAATCAGTCAATTTCAACTTCTCGCGGAAAAAAAAAGATCTTGTAAAGTTGGAATTGATTTGAACTTTTTAGTCTCACCCAGTCTGCTGTTACCACCGCAGACACGCCCACCCAATGGGCCACACCCACCCGGCACCCGACAATGCATAAGTGGGTTTTGTGCTGCAGTTTGGGCACTCAGTCTCTAAAAGGTTCCCCATCACTGGTGTAGGGTTTCCTGCTTGAGCAGGGGGTTAGACTGGAAAACCTCCAAGGTCCCTTCCAACTCTATTATACTGGAAAATAGTGACATCTACCACCCATATGCAAATTGTAGGCATCTACAGCAAGCATGAAGCATGAAATTTACATATGGAGACCTTTCTTTTCTTTTTTTCCCAATAGCTACACACACTCCTGCGTTATCTATCATGGACAGAAATGCCTAAGAGGCCATTTAAAAACAAAGGCAGAACATGCTCATTGCTGGCAAGGTAATTCTTTCCTCAATGTCCCATTATTCTAATACAGATCATTGTTGCTAACTCTCTTCTGCCATCTGTTACTTACCAGTTTTCGGGAGCCTGTGCATATTTACTTGTCAGCAACACAAATCATTTTTAAGAAGCCAGCAATAAAAGATGAGTCAGAAAAAACCAAAGCCAAATCCATAGGTGGTTAATACCTTCACTAACAAACTGTCACAAAAGAGCAGGTAAGCATTTGAGTTCTACCAAGGGGAGAGGGGAGAAGTAAGGGAGACCAAAACCTGTGCCAGATGTTTCAGCTACGAAGTCTCTGGTTCAAAATTAAAGTTGTAAATTGAAGATGGAACGTAGAGTCAATGTTAGATAATGCTGGCATTAGATGGTAGCCCAGAGCTACTGGATACGAGATGGGCAGGAAATAAATTTCAAAAATGAAATAATGAAATCAAATCAAATAAAATAAATAATAAAATAAAATAAAACAAAACAATAAAATAAAATAAATAATAAAACAAAACAAAACAAAACAATGTAAGGTAAGGTAAGATAAGGTAAGGTAAGGAAAGATAAGGCAATGGTGGCGAACCTATGGCATATGCACCAGAGGTGGCACTCTGAGCCCTCTCTATGGGCACGTGCACCGTTGCCCCAGCCCTGCCTCCCCCCGCGGCCCCCTCTTCACAAGCAGCGTCCCAGAGGAAAGTCGCCCCTGGGCATGGCCCACGCGGAGCAGCGCAGCCAAGGATATAGCAGCGGGCAGCAGGGACAAGACTCCGCTCAGATGATGCTGTGGGGCGCAGGCGAAGGACATGGCTGCCATGGCACCTGGGTGACCTGCAATGGGCCATGTAGGTGGTAGGTGGCCCTGTGGGCTGGCGGGGTGGGGGGCAGGGCGGGCAGGAGCAGGGTGGTTTTGGGGCACTTGATGTCTAAAAGGTTCGCCATTACTGAGGTAAGGTAAGGTAGGATGGGATAGGATAGGATAGGATGGGATGGGATGGGATGGGGAGGGGAGGAGGAGAGGAGAGGAGAGGAGAGGAGAGGAGAGGAGAGGAGAAGAGAAGAGAAGAGAAGAGAAGAGAAGAGAAGAGAAGAGAAGAGAAGAGAAGAGAAGAGAAGAGAAGAGAAGAGAAGAGAAGAGAAGAGAAGAGAAGATGGAATGGAACGGGACGGGACGGGACAGGACAGGACAGGACAGAATACTTCCCCTTTTTCTGGAACAAACAAAATGGAATGTCTTGCTTCTTGCCCATCTCTTTCATCACAACCTGCCTGAGGAAAAGTTCTAGAGACCTCTTTTTGTGTCATTTTGACAGATGGTCATAGTTATCACCTAAAGTTTAGCATGACTGTGAATGTTTTTATGGGTTCTAAATCGAGGACTCTCTGTAGCTATGATGGAGAAAGATCTTTTGTTCTACTCTTCCATTATACTGCCCAGGGCTTCCACTTTGGACACTCACCATAGCAGTGGCGTTCTCGATGATACCATCCCTCAGGACACTCAGAGACGCACTGGCCTTCGTGGAAGACTTGAGGGGAGGCACAAGCCGTGCAGTTCTCGGGAGATCCCCCCGTGCAAGAAAGGCAGGAAGAGTGGCACGCTGCAGCAGAAGAAAGAGAAAAGTGAGTTGATCAATAAAACTATACATTAGTTTTTCAAAGACGGCAGGACTTGTGGGTAGAACAGTGTTTCTCAACCTGGGCCCCTTTAAGAGGTATGGACTTCAACTCCCAGAATTCCCCAGCCAGCCATGGAATTCTGGGAGTTGAATACCACATCTCTTCAAGCAGCCACGGTTGAGAAACACCAGGATACAAGTTCTAGCACTAAACACTGCAGAAAAAAGTAATACACACTATCATCTAAACCAGGGGTAGGCAACCTTGGCTCTTTTATGACTCGTGGACTTCAACTCCCAGAATTCCTGAGCCAGCCATGCTGAGGGGAAAGGGAGAGTTTCCAAGCTGAGCCATGCTGGCTCAGGAATTCTGGGAGTTGAAGTCCACGAGTCATAAAGCAGCCTAGGCCTAGACCAGAGGTAGGCAACCTTGGCTCTTTTATGACTCATGGACTTCAACTCCCGGAATTCCTGAGTCAGCCATGCTGAGGGGAAAGGGAGAGTTTCCAAGCTGAGCCATGCTGGCTCAGAATTCTGGGAGTTGAAGTCCACGAGTCATAAAAGAGCCAAGGTTGCCTACCCTGATCTGAACAACTGTCACCTTGAAGAGAGCAAAAGTCCAAGGGCGAAGCTCTGTCATACCCAACATTAGACACAGAGTCTAAAGTTAAGTAGAACATCGGTTTGACCAAAGTTCTACTTCTTTAATTTTACTTTCTTGGACTATTTTTTAATCATGAGAATAGCTGCAGGGGATTTTGCCACATATTCCGCATGGTCTGGTAGATGATTGGCTTTTCCTGAACGCCAATCATCTTTTTTTAAAAAAACAAAAAATACTGCAGATTTTTTTCTCCTCAAATGCCCGAGGGCTTGAGCTGCAGGAGAACAACCTTGAACTAAAAAAAAGCATTAGCTGTGATGGAACGTAGAAGGATGGATCTCCAGGAGGGAAGGGATGCACTCCAGAGGAGTAAGAGGCAACTCGCTCCAGATAGTGTGTGTGTGAGAGAGATCACATGATATCTCTAATAGTTCCCTAATAGTTCCCAGAGTATAGGATAGATGCGGATAGCAGAGTCTTCAGTCTTGCAATATTTTGTCTGTAGACATGAAACAATAAAGAATTCAGCTTGGAAGAATCACCACATGTCATTATTGGTTTTGGGCTGACACAAGTTGAGCAAACATGAAATCCACATTACAACATATTATCTTGAACAAAAATGGACAATCCTACTTTTGTTGGCCCACATCCATCCATCCCTCTCTCTCTCTATCATCTATCTATCTATCTATCTATCTATCTATCTATCTATCTATCTATCTATCTATCTATCTATCTATCCATCCATCATTTATCCATCTCTCTCCATCTATCCATCATCTAGCTACCCAATCATCTATTATCTATCTATCTATCTATCTATCTATCCATCATCTATCCATCTCTCTCCATCCATCCATCATCTAGCTATCCAATCATCTATTATCTATTTTTCTATCTATTTTTCAAACTATTTTTCTATCTATCTATCCATCCATCCATCATTCATCCTATCCATCATCCATCCATCATCTAGCTACCCTATCTATCTATCTATCCATCCATCCATCCATCCATCCATCCATCCATCATCTAGTTATCCAATTATCTATTATCTATTTTTCTTTCCTTCTATCTATCTATCTATCTATCTATCTATCTATCTATCTATCCATCCATTCCCTATCCATCATCTCTCATTCTTCATCCATCCCATCATCTATCTATCCATCATCTGTCTATTATCTATCTATCCATCCATCATCCATAGGACTTATTACAGATGTTGATGTGATATTGCTGGAATGTGCAAGATTAATTTACCTCCCTTTTTTCCCATTTTGAGATAGGGACTTAATCACAACACCTGTGTTAATCCTATCAGAAGTCGCTCTTTTACTACTGACAGAAAGAGAGGGAATGGCATGGTGGTCTAGTGGTAAAGATGCTTGCCTCTCACTCGGAAGGTTGAGAGTTCAATCCTAGGTAGCGGCAGATGTTTCTCTCTCAGGATACAAAGAAAAAATATCTGTCAGGAAGGGCATCTGGCTAGTAAATGCTCAGTTCTGTCCAGTCACTCTGATTCTACCCCAAATTAAGGGATTATAGGGTCATAAAAAGGGAATTTTATTGACAGAAAGAGAACAAATTTGGTATAATGGTGAAACTGGGATACTCTGAATTCTAGCCTTGCTTTAGCACAAAGCCAGCTGGGTGATCTTGGACCAGCCCCTCTTTCTCAGCCCTAGGAAACAGGTAATGGCAAACCACATCTGAAAACCTTGCCAAGGAAATTGCAGGGATTTGTCCAAGCAATTGCCAGGAGACACGACTGACTTGTAGGAACTTAACAAATAAACAAACTAGACAGAAAGCATGGAAGAGTTAGTTTCACTGTCATAATTTGGCCATTTTTGATCCAATTTCAACTGCCTGATTTGGGACAAGGAGTGTCTCAGGCTGCCAAAGAGGCTATAGACAATCAGAGGCTGAAAAGCTGTCTCTTGAGAACATTTTATTTCTGATTTTCCTGCCTCAAGCAGAGGTGTGAATTATTTGGTCTAGGGCACAGGTCTGCAACCTGCGGCTCCGGAGCCGCATGCGGCTCTTTGAGCCTTCCCCTGCGGCTCCCAGCCTCCTCTGCCTTTGCAGAGAGAGACAGAGACAGAGAGAGGAATTGTGCTTCCCTGCTTCTCTCTCTCTCTCTGTGTGTGTGTTTGTGTTTTTGTGTGTGTGTGTGTGTGTGTGTATGTAAAAGAGAGTGGACTCACAGTGTTTTCCGAGGAGCTGAAAAGCTTACTGGGCGGAGCTCCTCCCTTTGCTGCGTCTCTGCAGGAAGCAGGAAGGGCAGGAGAGAGCTAGCTAGCCCAGCTAGGCTGACTCAGGAATTCTGGGAGTTGAAGTCCGTGAGTCATAAAAGAGACAAGGTTGTCTACCCCTTATCTTGTTGGACAACAGCTTGAAGCTTGTCAGGTGAGCAGCAGATAGGAGAGGGGGGGAGAAAGAGAGAGAGAGAGAGAGAGAGAGAGAGAGAGGAAAGAGAGAGAGCGGGGGAAGAGGAGTGGCAGGCAGACCAAGGGCAGAGAGAGGGAGGGAGGGAGAGAGACAGAGAGACCCTTTTGACATCTAAAATGAAGATAACATTGCATATATCCTTTTTTTACCTGTGTGTGTATGTGTGTGTGTGTATATATATATATATACATACATACATATACATATATACAAACACACACACACAAACACACACACACAAACACACACACACCTATAATAAAGGTAAAAAATATATGCAGTGTTATCTTCATTTTAGATATCAAAATGGTTTTGCGGCTCCCAGTGTTTTGTTTTTGGTGGGAAACGGGTCCAAGTGGCTCTTTAAGTGTTTTGGGTTGCCTACCCCTGGTCTAGGGGCTCTCCTGCAGTCTATACAGCTGTGATCTGCTAGTCTCAGCAGCCTTCCTCCTCAGTCCAATTTCCCCCAATCTATATAATAAGCAAATTTGTTGCTGTGGTACATATTCTGGGTACAAATGCTGAACTGGTGCTTTTAAGAGAGAATGCGATGTGGTGTTGTTAACCAAAAACCCTTGAGCACAACAAAAGAGTTCAGAACTATCTTTGAATAGGCTTTGCTTCCAATAAATGTCAGGACAATCTAAATCATTTGAAAAAAAACAACACTTTTTTATTAGCACATCACTTGAAGACAGTTTATTAGCCTGCTCAGGGAGATGTTGCAGACATGGAAGTTTTCCGGATCTGCAGAATTCCATTTTTCAAAGTGATTTGTACAAAGGCTGCTTCAGAGCTGGAGCTCAGGTGTGTGTGTGTGTGTGAGAGAGAGGGGGGGGAGAGGGAGGGAGAGGGAGGGAGGGAGAGAAAGAGAGGGGGGGGCACCAGTCTGAGACACTTTAACACAGCCATCTTTTCCTGAAATTGTATAGCTGCTGTGAAGGACAACCGTGTGATCTAGGAAGAGATGCGGCTGCTTTAAAGAGCGTGAGATAATGGCTTTGGTTGCACTCCTATATGCTGTAAAGCAGAGGTCCCCAACCTTTCTCAGTTGGCGGTCCGGAGGGAAAGGGAGGGGAAAACATTTTACATGCACATGCGCGCAAATGGGTCCGCGAGCACATGTGCAATGCAAACAGGGCGGTATTAATGCCTGCACGACGCAAATGGGGCGGTGCTAGCGCCTGTGTGACACTCACTAGCCCTACCCTGTATTTGCCACGTGGTGTCCCGTTTTCATCTCGGCCATGGCGTTAGCACAAGTGAGGGTGACTGCGTGGACTGGGCAGCCTGATCCGTGGCCTGGTGCCCAGCAGGCCACAGCCTGGTAGTGGGCCACGGCCCACAGGTTGGGGACCCCTGCTGCAAAGCAACTTCTTGGAACTAAATCCTCAGTACAGTAATACCTCGGTCGTTGATGTGAATTGATTCCGGGAAGCATGAGTACTAAAAACTACAAATGCCAAACAAACCAGGTAACTTACCACACGACCCTTTGTTTTGGCCAGGAAGATCTTTCTGTCTGTCCTTTTTCCTATGTCAGCTACCTTTCCAGCATGGCTGATTTCCTGTCTGTTCTCTGTGGCCATCCCCCTCTTTTTGCAGCCACCTTCCCAACATGGCCACCTTCCTGTCTGCCCTCTGCAGCTGTCCCCTTCTTCCTTTTGCAGTGTGTGGAATACCAATGAAGCAACCAGGACCAGAACAGCACTTTTGCATCAAATTGCGTTGAGTACCAAATTTGACGAGTTTTGAAGCAGTCAAATACCCGAGGTACCATTGTATTATACAGCCACAGTCTACAGCGAAAATCCCCTTCACAGCAATGTATCGAATAATATTTCTCCTCACCCACCTACTCTTACATTCTCTATATCAGTGAGCAATCCACAAGCCACCTCTAGTTGTCATCAGCTGTCAGATTACCTCAATTCTAAAAGGCCCAAGAACACATTTATGTTTTTGGCAGTCTTCCTTTCTACGTCAAAAAAAAAAAAAAAAAGTCTCAAGTTTGCTCTATATCAAGTACAAAACCATCGTTTTTTCTTTGTGGTAGGCGGCCCTAAAACCCAAATTGGTGTTGGGGTGCTTGAGAAATTCAATCCTAGCTAGTTCTCCATGTTAAACGACTTAAACTTCACCCTTCATGCAGTTTGAATTTCTCTTTTTTTCACCATCAGCTTGGGACAGAACAGATCTTTGCTCACCTTTGCAAATCCTGCCTTCATTGCTGTAGAACTGGGCTCTGCACTGAGGTAAACAGATGCCAATGGGCCTCTTCTCAAGGCTGGTGTCTGGTTGAAGGTTCTCCTCAGGGTTCATGCATTGTGTACAGTGTGAATGTTCTGGGCCAACACAGGCCCTGCAGGATGAATGGCAACCTGCAGAAGAGTCGGAAACCAAACAGGATAGGTACAGACTCCATCAGAGAGTTAAGACTGCAGTAGGTCAGAAGGAGGGCTGAGAAGATATCTATAGACCCCTCACATCCTGGACATAAAATGTTTCAACTCCTCCCCTCAGTACGGTAAGATGGATGGACAGACAGTAGGTAGATAGGTAGGTAGGCAGGCAGGCAGAGATAGACAGACAGACAGAAAAATAGATAGATAAATAGATAGATAGATAGATAGATAGATAGATAGATAGATAGATAGATAGATAGATAGATAGATAGATAGACAGATACAGAGAGATAGAGACAGACAGACAGATAGATAACCTTTATTATCATTATTTACTGTGGGCACACTGGCATACATTAAAAATGAAACTCTGTTGCTTGCTCTCAGAAAGTATACACACACATAACACATATATAAACATGTTATATACAACATATGTATACACCTACACCCTTACATATAAATACATATAAATATTAATCACTGTCCATCTTGAATACATAGCGGAAGGGCTTTACATGTCAAAGCAACTAGCCACAGGGACAATTTTTTTTTCTCCTTGAGCCATCACTCTGCTAAACATCTAATTCTCACAGTGCTATCTAATGTCTATGTGTATTTATCATATAGCATGGCTGTATTATTATTATTATTATTATTATTATTATTATTATTATTATTATTTATCTTTCTTATTCTTCTCCCATGATGATGATGATGATGATGATGATGATGATGATGATGATGATGATGTTGCTTTCCATTTACTGAGAGTTTCTGCACCAGAGACAAATTCCTTGTGTGTCTAATCACCCTTGGCCAGGGGTAGGCAACCTTGGCTCTTTTATGACTCGTGGACTTTAACTCCCAGGATTCCTGAGTCAGCATGGCTCAGTTTGGAAACTCTCCCTTTCCCCTCAGCGTGGCTGGCTCAGGAATTCTGGGAGTTGAAGTCCACAAGTCATAAAAGAGCCAAGGTTACCTATCTCTGGCCTAGGCCTAGGCCGCTTTATGACTCGTGGACTTCAACTCCCAGAATTCCTGAGCTAGCATGGCTCAGCTTGGAAACTCTCCCTTCCCCCTCAGCATGGCCGGCTCAGGAATTCTGGGCGTTGAAGTCCATGAGTCATAAAAGAGCCAAGGTTGCCTACCTCTGCCCTTGGCCAAATAAAATATTTGATTCAATCTCAAGGTGCTTTTTCAAAAAGCAACTGGACTGTATTTTTTCCTTGTAGAAGACGTTTCGCCTTCTCATCCAAGAAGCTTTTTCAGTTCTGAAGGAAAAGAATAGAAAAAAATACAACAGTCCAAGTTGCCTTTTGAAAAAGCACCTTTGAGACAACCATGACCTAGATGACTGAGAAGCTCCACAGACATATTCGATGTGAAATTCATCTTAAATGAAGCTCTCTCTGTAGGAGAAAAGAGGTGGCTTCTCTTTTGGGAGACACCCTAGATCAGGGGTGTCAAACTGCTGGCCCACAGGCCGGACACGTCACAACAAAACTGCGCCCGCCCCATTGCCAGCAATGGGGAAAAAGCTCCAATACGTCATGAGTTTGACATGTCTGCCCTAAATCCATATTCAACGCCCAATCTCAATGCCTTCCATATATATGGAGTTCAACTTCCACAATTCCCTTGTCAGCTTGGCCATTCCTAGGAATCCTGGGAATTGAAGTTTACCCATCTGGACGGTACTTAAGACTGTATCTAAGCTAGCTTTTCCCCCCAGTGAAATGATGTCGGCTATAGGAGACGACCATGCTGAGCCCAAGGGAGGGGTCAAATGCATCATCAGTCTTTAATCCCTTCATGCCCATAAGAGATCTAAGTCCAGCCAACCTTGAATTCCATTGACTCTTATTTACCTCCTATTTGCTTTTGTTAGTAGTTCAGATTCTTCTAGCAAGCATTAGCATACAATAAATCTATGTTCATTTGAAGTGCCTGGATTCCTGTGCTTGACATTGGCAGCTCTTTTCTTCCCTCTCCTTCCAGCATTATTGTCCTAGCCCAGGGGTAGGCAACCTTGGCTCTTTTCTGACTCGTGGACTTCAACTCCCAGAATTCCTGAGCCAGCCATGCTGAGGGGAAAGGGAGAGGTTTCCCAGCTGAGCCATGAATTCTGGGAGTTGAAGTCCACGAGTCAGAAAAGAGCCAAGGTTGCCTACCCCTGTCCTAGCCCATCAACATTCTCCACATCACACAACCATTTCTTTTTAGGGGGTGTCACTGAGACACTTTCTAAGAAGTTGTTTCAATTCAACTCCAAAAGCGGCTTATCTGAAAAAAGCCTCTAAAACAGTGGTTCTCAACCTGTGGGTCGGGACCCCATTTGGGGTCGAACGACCATTTCACAGGGGTCACCAAACAACGCAGTCCGCCATTTTTTTCCCCTTTTCCTTAGCTGTGCTACTCCCTTTTATTCTATTGGCTTTTGAAAGCCAATAGAATAGACTCTCTTGAATAGGGTCTAATTCTATTGGCTTTCCAAAGCCAATAGGAATTGTCCAGGCTGTCTCTGCCCTGCTGAGCCCGCCAAAAGTCCCATTCTGCAAACGATGCTGCACCAGTTGAGTAGTCCTCGACTTACGACCGGTTGAGTAGTCCTCGACTTACGACCGGTTGGGGGTCGTGGCATTAAAAAGGTTGAGAATCATTGCTCTAAAAGATTTCAGGAGGAATGAAAAACTTTCCCAACACTGGAACCGCAGGAGAGGATGAGCGGGAGAGATTTTATTCGTTGGCTACCACAGTAGGGAGATCTGGGTTACCTTTACAGAGGTTGTGGTGCTGATAAAAGCCCTCTCCGCAAGCGAGGAGACACTGGCCCTGGTAGAAGGCCCAGGGAAAGGAGCAGGAGGTACACTGAGTGGACAAAGGTCCAGTGCAGCTGGTGCACGAACTGTGGCAAACTGGGAACAAAGAAAGAGAGGAAATGTCAATCAAACTTTTCACGATTTGAATCTTAGAATAACAGAATAGCAGAGGAACAGAGCTGGGAGGGATCTGAGAGGTCTTCTAGTCCAGGGGTCCCCAACCTGTGGGCCGCGGCCCGGTAGTAGGCCGTGGCCTACTGGCCACTGGGCCGCAGGACAGGCTGGCCAGTGCGCAGATGTGTGCGTGTACCCCCCCACACTCGCACCTTGGGAGGAAAATGGGATAACGATGCCGCGCTGCGGGCACAAAAACAGACGGCGCTGTGCCGCACAAGAACGGAGCAGGTCTTGTGATTATCACGCGCTAGCCCTGTTTGCGTCACGTGTGTGCTCATGGCCTCGTGCATGCGCGCATGCACACACGCGTGCGCACGTAAAATGCTTCCCCCTCCCGTTCCCTCCTGTCCACCAACGGGGAAAGGTTGGTGACCTCTGTTCTAGTCCAACCAGCCAGTCAAGATCGAACTGCTTGTAGTGGGGCAGAGTTGGCCTGCGATACCGCATTCGAACCACTGCATTCCTATGGCTCTTGTGTATGTATTGGCTCCTCCAGAAACCTCCCTCCCACCTCGATTCCTGCACCCAGCGCCACTGAACCAGATAACATGCCAAAAGACTCCTATTTTAGAGGTGGTTCCTTGTTCAGTTCATCAGTATTCCAGAAAGACTTCAGCAGCTGATTTAAGCAAAAGATCTATTTGTTATGCAAAACAACAACACTAAACAGCAAGCCAGCTTGTTTTTAAATAAGATTCCCTACTCCCTGACCATTTAATACTAGTGCTGATTTCAAGGAAACTAAAAGCAAGTATCATGTAAAGCCTTCACAAAACAAAACATGAAGCTATTATCTGTATACAATAAACTCACACACATATATATGATGCATACATACACACAAACATATACATACATGTAGTCCTCGACAAAACTGAACTCAAAATGTCTATTGCTAACTGACTAACTGTATGTATGAGTGGGTAAATGTATGCAAAAGTGTGATCCTCAACCAGAAGATATAGTAGGTGACACCTTGCTGAATAGTAGTAACTGTGAGAGGGATCTTGGAGTCCTAGTGGACAATCACTTAAATAGGAGCCAGCCGTGTGCTGCCACTGCCAAAAAAGCCAACACAGTGCTAGGCTGCATTAACAGAGGGAGAGAATCAAGATCACGTGAAGTGTTAATACCACTTTACAATGCCTTGGTAAGGCCACACTTGGAATCCTGCATCCAGTTTTGGTCACCACGATGTAAAAAAGATGTTGAGACTCTAGAAAGAGTACAGAGAAGAGCAACAAAGATGATCAGAGGACTGGAGGCTAAAACATATAAGGAACGGTTGCTGGAATTGGGTATGTCTAGTTTAATGAAGAGAAGGACGAGGGGGGACATGATAGCAGTGTTCCAATATCTCAGGGGCTGCCACAAAGAAGAGGGAGTAAAGCTATTCTTCAAAGCGCCGGAAGGCAGAACAAGAAGCAATGGATGGAAACTAACCAAACAGAGAAGCAATCTAGAACTAAGGAGAAATTTTCTGAAAGTTAGAACAATTAATCAGTGGAACAAATTGCCTCCAGAAGCTGTGAATGCTTCAACACTGGACGTTTTTAAGAAGAGACTGGACCACCATTTGTCTGAAATGGCATAGGGTTTCCTGCCTGAGCAGAGGGTTGGACTAGATGACCTCCAAGGTCCCTTCCAACTACTTATTATTATTATTATTATTATTATTATTATTATTATTGATTATCGCACAGTCAGCCAGATGTTCAGAGTGGATTTGGCATTTTTATCTACCTATTGAGTCCTTACCAAGGACCTGGAATAGGCAGATGTGGATGTTTGATAGTATTACCGATATCGTCACAGGGATGAAAGCAGTTCCTAGTAAGGCTGCCTTTTGCAATTGACTAATGACAAATTTATCAATGCCAATGGGGTTCAAGAGGTGCTCCAGATGTTTTGGGATTGCACCCAAGGCGCCTATTACTATTGGTATTACCCTTGCTTGTCTTTGCCACAGTCTTTCTATTTCTATTTGTAGGTCTTTGTATTTTGTTATCTTCTCCAGTTCTTTCTCGTCTATTCTGCTGTCTCCAGGCACTGCCACGTCCACTATCCAGACTTTTTTGTCTTTCTTATCGACAATTGTTAAGTCCGAGGTGCTATGTTGCAGGTGCTTGTCTGTTTAAATTCTGAAGTCCCAGAGCTGTTTAACTTTATCGTTTTCTATGACTTTCCCACCAGTTCTTGCTTACAGGCAAATGATATTTCTTGCAGATCTTCCAATGCACCATTGTTGCTACTTTGTCATGCCACTGCTTGTAGTCAGTCTGTGCGACCTTCTTGCAGCAGCTTACCAGGTGGTCCACTGTTTCTTCAGCATGTTTGCATAGGTGGCACTTACTGTCTGTTGCTGTCTTCTCAATTTTGACTTTGTATGCATTTGTCCTTAAGGCTTGGTCTTGTGCAGCCAGAATTAGTCCCTCAGTCTCTTTCTTCAATTTTCCTGCTCTTAGCCATTGCCAGGTCTTGTTATTATCTGCTTTCCCAGCTATTTTTTTAAATGTATTGGCCATGTAGTGCTTTGTCTTCCCATGCCTCTATTCTGTTCTTCATTTGGTCTTTCTTGTAGGCCAGTTTGGTCTCTCCCGTAGTCAGTAAGCCTTCCTGATATACTAATTTCAGTGCATCTTCATCACTGTCCTTCAGATATTCAGATGATGATGATGATATTATTACTATTACTATTATTATTATATTATTAGCTGGAACTACTAGGACCTGAAATTGAGCAATAACTGGAGGATAAAAAGTTTAGTGCTCCAACCTACTTACAACGAAATCCCAAGACTCTTACCTCTGCATTTGTGAGAGCCATTCGCGTAGTAGCCAGGGGAACATTCTGACATGCAGTTGCCATCAAGCAGAACACGGTCTGAAGCACAGGACAAACATCTCAGCCGGTCCGGATAACATATTTCACAACCTTCATGGCAAGCTGGTAAAGAGGACGCTCCAATTAGGTTACCAATAAGTAACAGTCAAGTACAAGAGGACTTTGGATAAAATCTACATTTTTCCATTACAGATAGTCCTCGAATTACAACCATTTGTTTAATGGCCATCGGAAGTTACAACGGCACTGAAAAAAGTGACTTAGGACCGTTTTTCACAGTTAAGACTGTTCCAGCATCCCTTGGCAACTGGCTCATATTTATGACGGTTGCTGTGTCCCAGGGTCATGTGATCACCTACTGCAGGGGTGTCAAACTCAATTTCACTGAGGGCCGCATCAGCATTGTGGTTGCCCTGGGGGGCTGGGTGGGTGTGGCTAGGGTGGGTGTGGCCTACTGGGTGGGCGTGGATGGAGTGAGTGTGGCCTACTGGGTGGGCATGGCCAGTTCTACATCATTCGCGTCAAGGGTGCCTGTGGGGGCCTGGGCAGGAGTGGGCCAGATCTGAGGGTCTCTGGCAGAAGGGGGTGGGACTGGGGCAAGTGCCAAGGCATGGTCCATTTCTTCATTCCTCACAAAGGATGACACCTCCCCAGCATGCACCCAGGGGGCGGGGCCAACGTGGCAGGGGCTGATTCCTCGCTGTTTCTAGACGGCCTTGTGGAGCTAAGACTGAATGCGTTTCAGCATAGATGGCCACCACAAAATTGTACTTTGGTTCCCGGCCGGCCTGGGCCAGGGCCAAGACAGCGGGGGCCGTTCCCTCACTGTTTCCAGGATGGCTTTGCAGGCCACATGAAACCACTTCACGGGACGCATCCGGCTCCCGGGCCTTGTGTTTGACATGTCTGACCTACTGCAACTTCCTGATCAGCAAAATCAGTGGGGAAGCCAGATTCACTTAACAACCGTGTAACTGACTTGGCCACTGCCGTGATTCACTTAACAACCGTGCCAAGAAAACTCATTTAATAACTGTCTTGCTTAGCAACGGAAATTTGGGGTGTCAGTTGTGATCATAAGTTTGAGGACAACCTGTAATGGGTGCTGCTAGAATGCCTGCGGGAAAAAAAATCATTTATCCTTTCACTGATGCTGTATGAGAGTGACTCCCCAATGGTTCTGCCTCTATTAAAATTCCCCAAGAGGGCTTGAAAAGGAGTGGCGTTTAACACCAAATATTTATGCTAGCAGGTGTGGCCCTCTTCTGCTAATAAATCCACCCTTAACTCCACATATTATTATGTTTGCTGTCTGGTTAAACAAAGTTTTCCCTCAGAAAAGTGACTATGAAGTTAAAGGAATGCCTCACCCTGAGGCAATGGAGAAGTGGGCGAGTCTGCTGTGAAGAGATCGGAGGCACCATGAAAAACTCTTCAAAAAAGAGTGGTTTCATATATTTTGTGTATTTGCTGCTTTCCCTCTTCCACAGACACTCACATACACACATACAGGTAGTCCTCGACTTACCACAGTTCATTTAGTGACTGTTCAAAGTTACAACGGCACTGAAAAAGGCAACTTAGGACCGTTTTTCCTGACCTTTGCAGCATCCCCGTGTGTCTCTTGTGATCAAAATTCAGATGCTTGGTAACTGACACACATTTTATGACCATTGCCGTGTCCTGGGGTCACATGATCCCTTTTTGCAACCATCTGACAAGCAAAGTCAGCGGTGAAGCCAGGTTCACTTCACAACCGGGCTGCTAACTTACCAACTGCCGCGATTCACTTAACCACTGAGCACAAAAGGTCGTAAAATGGAGCACAAAACTCACTTAGCAAATGTCTCAGCAACAGAAATGTGGGGCTCCATTGTGGTCATAAGTCCAGGACTACCTGTACTCTCAACAGCAATGGAGGGAGGGGGAAAGCTTACACACACACACACACACACACACACACACACACACACACACACAGCCAAGATTATCACCCTCCCACCCTGATATGGGGATCTCAACAGCTGTCCTTGCTTATAGGTGAAATAAAGACTTTGCACACACTGGGGGTGGCTCTTACCTCTGCAAACTCCATCCATAACGTAGAACCGCTGTCCGCAATTAGCCACGCACGTGCCTTCCAGGAACACAAGAGACGGGTCTCGGCAGGTGGAACAGTTGTTTGCCGTGGGACCCCGGCACGTAGCACAGGATCCGTGGCAAGCTGGAGGCAAAGGAAAATATTTCCCAGTCAATTACAGCGTCTCCTTTACTGTACTCAGCAGGCATCAATTATTCTTAAAGCTCAAAGAAGACCACCTAGCTAGATTAAGGGGGAGAGGAGAAGAAAACAAGGAGAAGAGAGATTCAGATCTGGAAAAGGGGTCGTAAGTGAATTGGAACATTACAAGGAGTGTCTCCAGACCAGCTCCAGAAAGAAATCCGTGCACCCATTCTCCTGATGGCCAATTGATATTCACAACCCCTGGTAGATAGCCATTCCTCCAAGATTATTTGTGCCCGCATCACTTCCTGTCTTGATTATTGCGCTCTCCATGGGGCTGCCCTTGAAAAGTATCGGGAAGCTTCTATTGGTTCAAAATGCAGCGATCCACATTGTTCTGTACAAGCTTGGATTTGCGGATATATCACCTCTCTTATAGATGCTATATTGGCTGCCAATTTGCTTCTGGGTCCAATTCAAGGTCCTGGGGGGGTCCCCTTTAAAGCCCTACATCAGGGGTCTCCATCCTGTGGGCTGCAGCCTGGTAGTAGGCCGTGGGCTGCGGGCCACCAGAAAGGAAGGGCTGGCCAGTGCACGCACATACCCCCACTCGCGCTAGCACCGCGGGCCTCAAAAACAGGATGCCATGCCGCGCAGTGCAAAAACAGGCCGCCGCCGCACCTCGGGACGTGAAAACAGGCCACCACTGTGCCTCAGGCTGCGAAAACGGGATGCCACTGCACCTCGGTGCGTGAAATGGGATGCCGCACCACCGCGCTCATGAAAACAGGCCAAGGCCGCATCTCAGGGCGCAAAAATGGGATGCGCTGCGCCTCAGGGCGCAGAAAGAGGACACTGTGCACAAGAATGGGACAGGGCTAGCAAGTATCACACAAGTGCTAGCCCCGCCCCATTTGCATCACACGCATGTTCGCGGCCCTATGCACGTGTGCGTAAAATGCTTCCCTCTCACTTTCCCTCTGGTCTGCCAACCAAGAAAGGTTGGTGACCTCTGCCCTACATGGCCTGGAGCCAGGTTATTTGAAGGCCCACTCTTTTCCCAGTTACATTTACCTGACCTACCAGAGTGGGGAGGCAGGGGATGTTAAGGTCCCCTCCTTTAAGCAGCTCCATCTAGTGCAGGGGTGTCAAAACCCGCAACGTCATGTGATGTGTCGTGACTTATCGTGATTTTTTTACCATTTCCGGCTATGGGGTGGGCGCGGTTTTGGCATGACACATCCGGCCTGCGGGCCGGCAGTTTGACACCCCTGATCTAGTGGGACCAAAAAGAAAGGCCTCCTCTGTGGAACATCATCCCTGCAGAAGTAAGATTGGCCCCCACTTTGACACGCTTTCAAGATGCCCTGAAGACATGGTTTTGGGAATGAAATATATGTATCCCAGGATAATGTTGCAGGATCCAATCAGAATCGGTCACCGGGACTAAAGGTTTTGTCTTCAGAGGTTTTGGACTCGTGCTGGAGCCTATCCTGAGGTAGCTTCTCTCTGGCTGTTCTCTGTGGGGTGTTTGTAATGTCTGTTGTAAGTGGCTTTTTAGATGTTGATTGGGGTGTGTTGATGCCTGGCTATTAAGTCCTTGGTTGTTATTTCCATCTGCTGCCAAGCCCTCACCTCCTAAGTACTTGATAGGCTGGTGGTAAATCAGCACTCCTGTTGACCGACCCAGGCTTCGTTCTCAACTTCCCTGGCTTTTTTGTGCCTGCTCGTCCAACAATCTTAGTAGTTGCAAAATTGAATGGGTGTCCTTGTTCATTGCAATGTGAGGCTACTAATGAGTTCGGGGGTCCTTGTTTGACCGGTTGCTTGTGTTCCTGCAATTTGGTGGTTAGATGGTTACATGGTTTTGGCAACAGGCCTGGGGACCTCAGAGTGATATGGAGCCCATCAACTGGTTGGCCTGATTGTTGTTGCTGGGGAGGGGGGGGGGTGATTGGTTTTTGTATTGGGGTTTTATTTCTGTAAACTGCCTGGAGTCACCATGAGGGAGGGACAGAGGGAGAGAGGGAGGGAGGGAGGGAGGGAGGAAGGAAGGAAGGAAAGAAGGAAGGAAGGAAGGAAAATGGGTGGATGGAAGAGAGGGAAGGGAAGGGAGGGGAGGAGAGGAGAGGGAGGGAGGGAAAGAAGGAAAATGGGTGGATGGAAGAGAGGGAAGGGAAGGGAGGACAGGACAGGACGAGAGGAGAGGGCGGGAGGGAGGGAAGGAAGGAAAGAAAATGGGTGGACGGAAGAGAGGGAAGGGAAGAGAAGGGAGGACAGGGGAGGGGAGGGAGGAAGGAAGGAAAATGGGTGGATGGAAGAGAGGGAAGGGAAAGGACAGGAGGAGAGGAGAGGAGAGGAGAGGGAGGGAGGGAAGGAAGGAAAATGGCTGGATGAGAGAGAGGGAAGGGAAAGGAGAAGAGGAGAGGAGAGGAGAGGAGAGGAGAAGAAGGAAGGAAGGAAGGAAGGAAGGAAGGAAGGAAGGAAGGAAGGAAGGAAGGAAGGAAGGAAGGAAAATGGCTGGATGGGAGAGAGGGAAGAGAAGGGAAAGGAAGAGAGGAGAAGAAGGAAGGAAGGAAGGAAGGAAGGAAGGAAGGAAGGAAGGAAGGAAGGAAGGAAGGAAGGATTTTTTAATTTTCTGTTCCTAGGCATTGTGCATTTTAAACCAATGCCCTCTTGATTAACATGCTAACTACTCCTGGTTTTTAAAAATAGGTTTGAGGGCCACAAAAGGCCAGCTGGCCAAAATCAATCCTTCAACACTCAGGCCCAGGAGGAATGAAGAGTGACTCTGTATATACCAAAGGGCCAACGGACAGTTTTTGTGTTTCCTGGAAAGGTTAATGCAGTATCTCCTGCTGAATGTCATTCCATGAAATAAAGGGAGATCACAGACTGCAGGCCATATTTAGAAAGCCGTGGGGGAGAACAAGGAAATTTTATTTATGGCACTTGTAATGACTGTGGCATGTTAAGTCCTGTGCTGCCAGAATTTACATCAGAGCTTTTTTTAGCTATTGTTTTTTTTAAAAAAAAAAATTAATTATACCCCTGCTCATCCAAATGTTCTCAACTTTATTTTTAATTCCCCAGCCAGGCACGTATCTGCTTACGAGAGAGCCAAAATATCATCCTGACAGTGGGTGTGAGGCTGAGAGAAATACCCACCGATGTAAATTCATAGATGGGAGGAAAATCCTAAATTCCTAATTTACAACCAGGATCAGTCATTTAGTAGTTTACCTTCGGGCTGTAGAACAATAAATTGTGAAAGTGGAGTCAAAGTGGAACATCACTCCATTGCAATCATGCTAAACTTATCATTTTATAGTCTTGGGAGGGCCGTGCTCAAATCTGGCTGTTTTATTAAAGCTAAGCAGATTTCAGTCTAAGTAATGTCTGAACCAAAGGCCTCCAAGGGTGATTTTTACACAAGTTGCCCAAGAGATAATAAGATCAGCCACAGAAGACACAGCAAATGTCTCCGATGAAATACTATAACACTTTAAAAGCAGAATTATTAGCAGACATGGCGATTAGCCAGGGTTGCAACCAGGAAAGCTATTAAGCTTCTGTACCATCTAGGTTTGGCTATATTTCTAAGTGTGTTTCTTTATTTGCTTCACAGAAAGAAATACAAAACAGGTAGAGGGAAAAAAAGCAAAATATATGAAAAGAAAACCCAATAACGAACTTAACAAAAACCAACAGAGAAATAAAACCAGAAAGAAGGCAGAAACTGTTGGATTTATGGCAGGGGTCTTTAAACTTGGCCCTTTTATGACTTGCGGACTTCAACTTCCAGAATTCCTCAGCCAAGCACGCTGACTGAGGCATTCTGGGAGTTGAAATCCATAAGTCATAAAAGGGCCTTTGAAGACCCCTGATCTATGGCATAAAACACATATCCATCAAATGTCAAACAAGTTTCTAAACCTGCATTAACAAGCATAAATGATGATTGATAAAACATCATTAAGTCAATGCCAAAGGAAAACTTACTCAGTCATTGATTTATAGATAAATGAGGCTGAATTTTTTTTTAATTAATTTATTGGGTTTGTTTATTTGGAAAAGGTATATATGGCTGTCCATGTTACAAGCGTTACAGGCAGTCCTCAACATATGACCACAATTGAGCCCAAAATTTCTGTTGCTAAGTGAGACTGTTGCTAAGTGAGTTTTGCCTCATTTCATGACCTTTCTTGCCACGATTGTTAACTGAGTCACTGCTACTGTTGTTAAGTGGCTTTCCCCGTTGACTTTGCTTGTCAGAAGGTCGCAAAAGGAGATCACATGACCCTGGGACACTGCAGCCGTCATAAATATGAGTCAGTTGCCAAGCATCCCAATTTTGATCATGTGACCATGGGGATGCTGCAACAGTTGAAGATGTGAAAAACGGTTACAAGTCACTTTTTTCAGTGCTGCTGTGACTTCAAACAGTCACTGTTGTAAGTTGAGGACCACCTGTATTGATTGTTTATGCCACTGACGTGCCAGAGCATGCACAGTCTTATTGCACTGAGATAACCCAGGAGTAAACACATTAAACAGTGGTTTGTATTAAATGGTGGTTTATCTTACACTATCTACAATATCATACACCAGGAACAATATACATACACATGTTAATACAGGAGGATCCAACAAACCACAATTACAGCAGGAAACGGAAGAGAGAGAACACAGCAGCAGAGCCTTTCTTTTATACCAGACATGTCAAACACAAGGCCCAGAGGCCGGATGCGGCCCGTGAAGTGGTTTCATGTGACCCGCGAAGCCATCCTGGAAACAGTGAGGGAATGGCCCCCACTGCCTTGGCCCTGGCCCAGGTCGGCCGGGAGCCAATGTACAATTTTGTGGTGCCCATCTATGCTGAAACACATTCAGTCTTAGCTCCATAAGGCCGTCTGGAAAGAGCGAGGAACCGGCCCCTGCCGCGTCGGCCCCGCCCCCTGGGTGCATGCTGGGGAGGTGTCACCCTTTCTAAGGAATGA